GGAAATATGTTTTTTAAATGTTTAAGTATGTAAAAAATTGATTTTAGTGTTTTAGAATAATTGTGAAATTTTTAATACTTTGCTATAAGTTTAATTTGTATCTACATTTATCTAATTATTAATTGTTTTGTGGAGGTGATTATTCAAAGCAAAAGAAAAAAAATTCAATATGAAAACATAAACATATTTTTTAATGTGGTATTTTCCCCTTGTTTACAGTTATCTCCCCTAATGTGTTTCCAAAATGCCTCCTTGCGTTAATCACTCGTCGTTGTGTGGTCCTGGTGGGGTTGAATATTACCCACTCACAACATGTTGGGATGCATTTTTTGGAGTGGCAAACGATTCGACGACCTGATGTGAGGTTGTTCTTTTCTGGTGAAAAGGGGGGGGGGGGGGTCTATATTCTACTGGTTAATAAAGGGAGATGTATGTACCGCTATGTGAACGATTTGACGCGCACACCCTTGTCTTGGCTTGTCTTGCTAAAAATAAAATAAAAATCGTCACATTCAAAAAATTGAATTATACTGCTTTTCGTCCTTCTTAGGACGTTATTTTTTGTTATTTGAAGCCCCACTCTGGCTTTTGCCAGGGGCCGCAATATAGGCAGGTCATCATTATGGCCAAATGTCTGAACGCGGTTTCTGGGACCTCTCCACGGTGATCCTCATCCGCATGGTGGCACTTTGTGTCATCGGGTGTTTATCGCTTGTGTGATGTCCTGGTGGGGTAAAAAATCCAATCCAATCCGTCACATTCAACCAGCATCCCCAGAGGGAAAGTTTTAGGTTACATGCCTAATTGTGACTAGGTTATGTGCGACATTTACAATAGCTTACCATTGCTCTCCACAAAGTAGTTTTGAAAAGAAAAAAAAAACCTGCAACGTTGATGCGATCAAAGGAGACAAATTTAAAAAGTAAGTAAGTAAAGATCCTTTTCGCGACTTAAGGCGCATCGGACATATGGAAAAAGCACCCATATTTTTACAGATCAATTCGCACTAGGTGGGTAATGTGGTCAGCATTACGCTGACCAACTTTACTTCCCTATGACATACATCCTGGTACTTATTTTAGGATGGGTCGACCTGCAGCGTCATATACCAATAAAAATCCATACAGCCAGCAGCGGGTTTCCATCGCGGTACTTTGAAATTAGGAGTCGGACTCGCAACTCACCAGGACATCACACCGAGCGATAAACACCCGGTGACACAATGTGGCACATTTTGGAGGAGGATCACCCAGAGATGTGTTCCAGAAACCCCGTTCAATCCCGTTGGGGTTTTATTATAGCCCCTGACAACAGCCGGAGTGGGGCTTTATAATAACAAAATATTGCGCTTCGTGATGGGGCAGAAGTTCGATAAAAGTGCCAAATACTGAACTTTTTTTGATACACTTGATTAATTGTAGAGTAATAGTGAGTTAATATCAGTGATTCTGCAAAGAAATTTGCCCCCCCCCCCCCCTTTTCCAATTTTTTTTTCTAATTATTTAAATACCTAAAAAAGCTGAAAGCATATTAAAAATAGATGATAATTATGGAATTATGTACCATAGTCTGCATTCTAGTGTGGACCTACGTATAAATGATACTGTCCCGAAGATAGGTCACCAAACTATGATATCACTCACCCACCAGAGTAAACCATTCAGTTTGAATTACGATACATTGGGAACAAAAAAATATATGTCGGTCAAAAATGAATTATTATTATTATTTTGTTTGAATTCAGCCCAATTTTTTTTTAAATTATTTTCCTCAGACATTTGTATTCAAGTGCATTTAACTTTCATTCCATGAATTTAGTGGTTCTCCAATAATTGCAAAATACTGAACATGCAATTAATTACATAGGGAAATCACAACCCGACCTCCACAAAATGGCCAGGGTTGGCTCTGCAAAGCCCTTAGTGTAGAAGACGCGCAACTAACTTTGTAGTATATCAACCGCTACGTATTTTTTTCTGCTAAGGGATGTAACCTATTTATTACTAAATACTTTCTTCGGTAAGAGTCGCAACATGTTTTTCACAGTTACATTTCATGGAAGAAGTCATTTAAAGTTTCACAGCTCATCAATAGGCTCAGGGGGTGCATTATCCAAATATCCAAATGGTAAAAAATTGCAGTAAAGCTGGAGCCTTGTCTTCGATGTATTGTACGAGCACCAAGCAGATATCCGTAGAAAACTTTATTAGGAGAAGCAAAGTCGACCACCACGACTCTCTTTGTATTCTATTAAAATTCCAAAATTAGATTTCTTCGAGAGGGGAGGAAGCAGTTTGGCAGCTGCTGAACCCCTTAATGTTCTCAAACAAATGCTGTGAGTGCGGATGTGCAAGAAAGATATTAAATTGTCAACGCGGGTGAGAGTTCATTGCGTTTGTGCGAGAGAGTGCTTAATCCGTTGACTTCACGTTTAATTGTATTTAAAAACTTTATTCTACCAAATATGAAGCGGTTTAGGAATGAATATACTCACCCCTTTTAAAGTAATCCACCTAACACAAAACCAATTTATGATAAGAATAGCGTGAAATGATAATCGTGATGACGACTATAATTACACAACAAGATTCCATGGAGAGCGAAACACCAGCTGGTTTCTCATTTTTACACGTCAGGAATCAGATCAAAGAAACTAAAAATATCCTGAGAATGAAGAAATAATTTAAGCAGGCTCGGTAGCTCCTTCCGTCTCGTCTGTGCCGTTTAATGACTCTGTCTCATTTGAATCTGTTTTTGCCTTTTTCTTTGGGGTTCCGTCTTCAGTACCCTCGTCTTTGTCTTCTGCAGGTCGTTTTTCTACAGCACCCTCAGATTCTGTATTTGATTCAGTTGCACCTGAACTGGCTTCATTTACGGTTTGTTCTTTTGTTACCTCTTCGGACTTTGCCTTCACATCTTCTACTGTTTTTGCAACAATGGGATCTGTTGTGGTTTCTGATGTCTCAACAGCAGCTTCGACTTTTGTTTCAGGCATGATGGAAATGTATAAAATGCAAAAATCACAAAGCGGCGAGAGAGAATGAAATCGCGCTGTTTATCCCAGATACGAAATATATAGTTTCTGAGGGTGAAAAAGCTTGCTTGCTTGTTGTAGACACAAAGTGCCAACATACGGATGAGGATCACATGTGGAGAAGTCCCGGAAACCCCGTTCAACCGTTAAGCCATATTTGAGGCCAGGCTATTTTTAGGGCCCCCGGCAAAAGCCAGTGTGGGGCTTCAAAATTAACTAAAAAATGCTTCCCACATGGGGACGACACTATCGCATGACTTCTTTCTAGATGTCCTCACTGCTCCTTTTATCTGTCTAGGGTATTCTCATCAAGGACCAGAAGGATATTACGTCGGTAATCCAGGCTGTACGGGAAACCGCCCGGCATTAGTCTCCACCCCCACCCAATGTAATGTTTAAGCCTCAGGGTTGTAATTGGGATTTATAGTGTTAATCGGATTCTGAGAAGATGATGCCGTTCAACCCCACCAGCACATTACACCTAGCGATAAACACCAGGTGACCTAAAGTGCCACCATTCGGATTAGGATCATCCGGGGACATTTCCCAGAAACCCCGTTCAACCCATTTCTATATGGTTCCGAAACAATACATTTTTGGGGGTCTCCCAAATGGTTAAATACTGTTAGTATCACAGAGATGCATCGGGTCCTCTTAGGGGCAATGATACGGCAGCGATGAAGACAAATATGAAACAGAAGACGGGATATAAATGTAGTGTTTCAGTTAGACCTCTATTTCCACTAGGCTTACATATAAGGCAGCGGTGGAGACAAAAAATAGGGTGTAAAGAATATGCCACTCTTTCACTATCCTGGGCAAAGCCGGGTAATGGAATATAGTGTGTGTGTGTGTGTGTGTATGTTATGTGCAACCTTTTTTTTTAAAGCAAACTATGTTCACTTTGTTATTTATAAACTGTGTACACATGCCACAGCTGCATGTAGAAGGTCTTGGAAGTCACTGAGTGACTCACTCCATCACGCTTTGCCAACCTAACCGACCAAGTTAATCGTCAGACTCTCCCATTCTTCTGATTGCACTACAGATAGCATAAGTCTTGTAGGTCCCGATCATTCTGCTTGTGGTTTCATCAACCTCTGCCATGTTTATTTGAATAGAGGCATGATCATTAGCACCAATAATGCGATTGTTGGCAGAGCATTTGCGTGAAATCAAGAATCAACGAACTCTCCTACGTTGTTATTCATTGTTGATTTTGTTCAGATTCTCTTTGCTGGAGTCGCTTTGTGCAACTATTGATTTAAAACAAAAATGCAATTTGTATTGTTTTAAATATTGATTTGTTTTGGGTTGCAATTATGATATAAATCTTTCTATGAATATTAAAGTTATCTTTATTTATTAAGTCAAATGTCACAGTTTAAGAACCTCTGCTGCCAGTTGTGAATCTCGTGCTCTGCGGGTCCGAGGAGCGAGACAGAGGAAGCGATTATGGTAAATAATTGTTTTCTGGAGATTGTGTATTCTAAACAGACACCAAAGCTGTTGTGCTCGAACTGTTTGCAATAAGCAGATAGATCTATTCATATAGCATATCATAGTACTAGTAACAAGCAGTTAGTATGTATTCATGACTGTTGTCACGTTGAGTAGTTTGCAACAAACAGCTGAGCTCCTGTGATCAGCAACCAAAACTGTTCCAATGGACAGGGTCATAGAGACTGGATAAGTAAAGTAAATCAAAGCTGTTGGGTTGCGTAGGGACTTTAGTTAATTTTTCTAAATCATTTTATAACCACCACAGTTGGATACATAATAAAAAAAAAATATTTCCTGGAAAGTTTAAGAGGGTTGTGATATTGAATATTGCAATGGAAAGGCTGTAATGATCTGAATCCCAGGCTTTGGAAATCCAGTTGAGATCGTATCCGTGCTGACTACGACTACGTTTGTGTACAACTTATAACTTACAAGTTCTAACTTCTCTTCAAAGATCGCCGTCATGTCAGAATCATACGGTAAGTTGCCGGTGCATCTATACACTGTTATTATTACTGTTAAAATAACAAAGCTTGAAATACTAAATTAACTATTTAGACTCAAGTACAAGCAGGTATAGACCTAGAACATGATGACTGAAGATGCTTTTTTCTGTTTTAATTATTCCCAAAATGAGCCTAAAAACATGTCGTGGGAAGTAAAGGCGGCATGTGATGTCTTAATTAACAAAAGCACTTTTAACCAGGCTAAGAACTCTTTTTATTGAATTATTCCACTTGGACTGTATGCTGTCTGAAGGATTTAAGAAGCTGTGAGAGTTAAAGGCTGCTTACCATAGATAGCCAATGCCTGAGGAAAATGTTGAGCATAAAATGGGACGCATTCAAAAGTGTGCAGAAATAACAGAAATGTCTGGGCAAACACAAGTATCATCATCATCATCATAAACCACTTCTGCCGTTAAGTGTCGTGGGGAGGAATAATTTGCGATCCAGTGCACGTTGGCTACCACTGGCCAATGTCATGCCACGAAGGCGTAGAGTGTCTTTAATGTTGTCAATCCATATTTTCCGAGGCCATCCTCTTGCTCTTCTAGCTGATCTTCTGATGGTATTTTATCTTGGTGCATTCTAAGGAGATGGACAAACAACTTGATCTGTTGTTTCTCGATAAATCTAGTACAAGCTGTCGTTCCCACAGTTTGCCAGATAGTTTCATTATTAATGTGATCTTGTATGGTTAGGTTGGCTGCTTTTCTCAGGCACCTTATCTTACAGGTGGTGATTTTGCATATATGAGCTTTAGATAGTGTCCATGTTTGGCACTGGTAGCTCAATGTTGGAATGAATATGCTATTAATAATCTGTCTCTTTGCGCTCATAGTTATGTTTGGGTGTCTTAATAATGGTGACAGTTGGTATATAATTGCACTTGCTTTCTGGCATCTGGTTTCTATTTCTCTGTCAATTCTACCATCTCCCATGATCATACTTCCTAGCCACAAGTATCAACAGTTATAAAAGACAGAGAAGATGGCGCTAAATTGGACACATCCTGAGAAGAAACAAGAAGACAGCCACCAGGTAGGCACTACAATGGAAAATAAAGGAATTAAGGAGGCAAGAATACTCATAAGAAACCCTAAAACAAATATTGATGGTGCTCCACTGGACTCCATCCATGATATTTAACTGATTGCACAGGGTAAACGGGATGGAAGAATAGACAGAGAGCCGCATGTGACATGTACATGTAATGGCACAATGTTGAATGTTGAATTGAGAATCAACATCACAGCACTCGGGGCACCCTCATAAGCACTCTGTCCCCATCTTTAGCAGCTAGCGAAGAGTTAAATTTCCGATGGTATCAATAATTGTCTGACTGTATATCCGTCTCGCCTTTCCCCTGAGTGTCTATCATCGGCCAGATCCCCTTGTAACTCCTCGCAGTGCCATTCTCCTCAGACCATAATAATCTATCTGTGCCTCTTCACTGTTCACTCGCTCCCAAAGGGCCCTCACAACATCTAGCTTGTTATACATCAGTTCACCACTAGGTGGTGCAGAACCGGCCAGTCTATCTGCCTGCTCATTTCCCAACACACTGGTATTTCTGGAGAAAATATCCAGAGAATGCTACCAACCCGGGACCTTTAAGTTGTATGTAATGGCAACAATAAGGCAATAAATGAATGCCCTAGAGCAGTCATTGCTCTATGTGCAGGCCCTGCTGTATATTAACATAACCTTGAATGAGAACTCACCTCTGCTGGCGGAGAGACTAGTATTCTCACTGTTTATTCATCCTTGCTCAGAGTAATTAACTTTTTACCAGCTTTTATTAAGTTTATTTTGTTTGTCTGGTACAATTTGTGCATTCAGTTTTTATTATTATTAGCGTGAGCAATGTTTGTCTTTAAGGTTTTTAAAATTCACCATAAGTTGTTGCATTTTTGTATACAGTGTTGTTAAAGTTTGTTGACTGTATTAAATTCTTGTGCTTTCCTGTTGGTCTCATAGGCATAATTAGTATGAATTCCCATTAAATTTGATTTTTATAATTTATCATAAGGTCCCAGTCAACCCAGCTCAAAGTGGGTATCACCCGGAATGTTTTCTAGACAAATAGGTGATGGTACTCACCACAGAGTGTCTAAACAAGTGTCAGTACTCACCAAAATGTTTCTGTTACAGTATTGCTGAAATAACGGTGCCTAAACAAGGTGCCGGTACTGCATACCATTGGTGTGAAAGGGCCCTTACTTTGCATAAGGCACTGACAAATTATATTAAGTAAAGCAGCCGTAAAAAAAATTTTTTTTAGGTAATATATTCATAAATACTGCGCAGGTGCAAATATATCCAGTCACATTAACCTTTTTCTCTGAAAAAGGTCACTGCTGACAGACTAGTTTGTGGACCTTTACCAGAATGTGGCAGTAAGTGAAATACCAGTTCAGGATTCCCAAAATACCAGTTCGGAATTCTAAATATCAAGCACCACCTGTTCAGTACAAAGAAAAGAATACAACCACAGCTCCCCTAACAGGCATGTTGTAAGATGCGGGTAATTAGGTGTTTACCAAAATAAAACACCAAATGAACACCAACTTGTACAATGCATTGGAAAAAGCGCACAAACGATTCTAACCCCCCCCCCCCCCCCCCCCCCCCCCCCCCCCCCCCCCCCCCCCCCCCCCCACCTCCCACCCCACAACACTTCGCTGATGTAAATGGTGGAAGAGAAGAACTGAAATCAAATGCATTAGGATGAAAGGTGCAGACTTCACAGCTTAACTGTAAACTGCAACATGCCAGCTACCCTTTGAAGAGTGAATGCAGAGGACTACAAATATTTTAAAGAAAAGACATAATGTAAATTTTATTTGGTCTGGTTTGCTTGTATGTTTTATAATTTATTTACACAAAGCTATGGTTTCACTATGTACATAATTTGTCTACATAATCTCCCTCCTTATCGGTGCACTTTGCACTACTGTCAACAAGCTTGTCCTTCAGAATAAAGGGTTTTCGACTGGTCATGAAGCTACTTTTGAACCGCATTTTGTCCGTCAAAGTCTGAGGCAAATCGGCAACCTCTACATGCGTAGCACTTGTTTGACCACTTTTTGAAATTCTTGATCCACAAAAACACAGTTTTACATGATATTGCACTTCCCCCGTATTGCTATGATAGTTTATGGTGAATCTTTGAACCCTTGACACCCTCCAACCTGAGGAATCATATCACTGCTTGTTGTTCCTCTTTGGTGAAAACTTCTAATGGAGTGGTCATGATCTACCTGCAACAGAAGGAAGAAAAATGGTGGAATTAGGATCACATTTTTATAGCATTCACAACAGTATAACAATAAAATAAAGTGAGGGCAGAAGTCAGTGTAGCCAATGTAAGAAGAGGTGTGTGAAACATGTAGCTAATTTGGACTTGCCTTGTAGTCATCCTAACAAATTTGCTGACAATTGCCTCATCTTTCCAGAGTTTTTGTTCAAGTTTCTTGTTATTGGAAGTGCTGGATCCGGCAAGTCTTGCATCCTCCATCAGTTCATCGAGAATAAATGTAAGATTTATTATAGTTAATCTGTTCACATTTTGTCTTCCACATTGTTTTTAATTCCTCATTGCTTTTATTGTTCCTGACAGTTTTTTGATGTTGCATAACTTATTCTTCTTCTTTATATTTACTAGCTGAAAATTCTGGTAGTTCGTCTGCTTCTGGACGGTAGTATTGTTCCAGAACCTGAGTGTTGTATTTACATCTGTTTTACAGATCTGACTTATTTGTATGCAGACTGTTGGTTACTTGCCTGTCAGGCAGATGCACTCCAACTTCAAAGAAAGCTCCCAGTTTGTCAGCTTTTACTACATGATTTTGGGTAGGCAGTGGGTCTATTCTTGTTTTCCTCACAATAAGTTGAAAAAAAAACAGTAAAGATCCCTTTTGACGCTTTTAGATGCCTTGGGCTAATGGGAAGAGCACCCATATTTTTACAAGCATTACGCCGCCGTCTTTACTTCCCCAAGGACATCCATCCTGGTACCCATTTTAGGCTGGGTCGGCCTGAGATGCCCCATATCATGATAAAAAATCCACGTAGCCAGCAGTGGGTTTCGATCACGGTACGTTGGAATTACGAGTCAGACTTGCAACGTCTAAGCCACAGACGCCTTTCCCCACAATGGGGCTCTGAAACCACACGAATGGGGTTAACTATTTGCAGAAGGAGATATATGTATCCTTGTTTTACACACACTGCTCCTCGTGTTATTTCTGGGGTCCTATTTTGGGGGGGGGGGGGCGGAACAGACACACTACAGTCCGATAGGCGAGTGGTAAAACCGACTATTGCGGAGTTTGCTGAAAGTGTATTTGTTTGGCTAAATGGTGTAGATATCACACCCTAGCTTGAAACCACAACGCAGCATACCAGCTGCCCTTTTAAGATTGAATGCAGAAGAAGAAGAAAGATACATTTGAAAAAGTTTGTTATTGAAATTTTCATATATGTTTTCACTGCACTGTGACTGACATATAAGGCAGGTCATGAAGATAGTGAAGAAATAATACACATGCAGACCTGCAAACAGTAAGTCACCAACTGGAAAGAGAAGGTCAGTGACATAGATGAATGGAGACAGTGCAGTAAAGAACTTCAGGGGCTTGGAATACTCAAGAAGAAGATCAAGAACGAAGAAGAAAGAATGAACTAACTTCACTGTCACATGGTCACAAATCGTGCACACAGGCCCATGTTACTTTCGGCCCTTCTAAACACTCTCCTATCACACAGCATTTGTATTTAATCTGTAAAGCCTGTTATATTTCTAATAATATACATACTCTGATTGTAAATTACAGAAGTAGAAAACGACATAGAGCAGCGGTTCTCAACCTGTCGGTCACGACCCCTTTGTAGGTCAAACAACCCTTTTACTGGGGTCACTTAAGACCATCAGAAAATATATATTCACTGAAGTTATGAAGTAGTAAGGACAATAATTTTATGGTTAGGAGTCACAACATGAGGAACTGTATTGAAAGGTCATGGTATTAGGAAGGTTGAGAACCACTGATATAGAGGATGGAGGACAGAGAAGATGGAGGAATGTTTTTAACCATGTTCTAGTGTGTTCATTGATAGGTGCTAATTGTGAAAGTAATGTCATTTTCGCTCACTATTGGCTTCGCAGTCAAGCAAGATTCTAATCACACAATAGGAGTGGAGTTTGGTAGCAAAGTGGTAAATGTTGGAGGAAAGGCAGTGAAACTTCAAATTTGGGATACTGCTGGTCAAGAAAGATTCAGGTTTGATTTGGTTTTTTTCTTTTGTTTTTTGTATACATATACAAACACAGTTTCATAATTCTAAAATAAATGGTTTTATTCAGTTACATATGATTTAGGTCGAGACACTGCTAGCATTGGTTATGACAATGGCTTGAGCATTGACCATTCGGGATTTAAAACTGCTGAATGTAATTAGTTAATTGCGTATCCTTTACAGGTCCCTGCAGAACCAACCCCAGCATTTTTGGGCTGTTGTGGTTTTTCTAAGCAAATTTTTTGTTCAGTCGTTTGCCATTGCTGTCTGAACAGTCAGCTTTCGGTACCACTGTCGAAACCAGCGCAAAACAAATCACCAGCAGCTGGGATCAAACCTGGCACCCTGGCATTATGAAGTGCGTTCGCAATACCTAAGCCATAGACACCGACATAAAGATGGCGACGCTGAACATAATGTTGCCTAATCAAACCACAAATAGCCGAAAAAATTATCAGGTGCAGTGTCCTGTAAAGCATGAGGTTTTATAGGGTAATAATGAGATTACCCTGGACAGATTTAAAAAAAAGTAATGAAGACATCTTGAAAGAAACTGACTCTCGAAGAGAACATTGCCCACATCAGAAAGAGACAATCTACATTTTTTGATCATGGGATGAGAAGGAGAAGACTGGAGTGCATCGTGACAGTAGGAAAGTTGGAGGGGAGGAAAGGCAGAGGGAGACCAAGAGAGAAGATGCTGGACAGTTTGACATCATGGCATCGAGGATCATCTTTATCAGAGCTGAGTGAATGTACATAAGACAGAAAGTTGTGGATAGACATGACTACCAGTGCCACATGGCATGGACTTTTAGAACAAGAAGTCAATCACCAGAGGCAAACATGTGAAAGATGGACTGTCGCAGTTTGAAAGAGGCCAATTACAGTAAGCTAAAGAGAGGAGATGTCTGAGAGAGACAGACTCAGAGAGAAATCAGCCTCAGCATAATAGAGTATCAATACCCCTGTGTGGGTTCCAGGGCCCTGTTAAAGGAAAAACTAGAATAGACCCACTGCCTACCCAAAAGCATGTCGTAAGAGTTGACTAATTGGGATCTGTCAAATGGATGCACACGCAACACTCAGGTTCTGGAACAGGACTGCAGTCCAGAAGTAGACAAACAACCAGAACTTTCCATCAGAGTTTACAGCTGCTGAACGCAAAGAAGAAGAAGAGTATCAATATTTTTATATTGAAGCTGTGGCAGAGACTGTCACTCACACATTGTCATAGCAGACTCTTTTGCTAAACCCATCGGCACAACACCATAATCCCCAGGGATTGGTGGTTGCCTAGAGAGTTTGGACTAATATTCTAAACTAATAAAAGAAGTAACAGTTTGTACTTAAATAAAGACATTTACTCTTGAACATCACATGTCAAGTCTGTAAGAAGCCAGACATGCTTGCTACATTTTAAAGTGTGGCACTTGGGAAACAGGGGACCCAGGTCACTCCTTGTCTGCATGCATGTTCTTCAACACTTGGTTTGCAGACTTTAGCCCATTTATGGAAATCTCCTATTGATTTACCAGAAATATCAACACAGTCAGTAGCAGCTTCACTAAACAGTGTTTCTGCAGTGCTTCATCTTTCTAAAATGATGCTCCAGCTACATAGAGGGTCTCCTAGACATATAACCAAGTTCTGTTCTGACTAACAGTTCGTAAGTTGAACTGGTAGTAAGTGGAATTTGTATTAAAAAAATTTTTTTTTAACATGTAAAATGGGTTATAAAAGTTGTACACAAACTACAGAATTCTGTCTATGTGTGTTTAGTTATTGTACATAATGTGAAAAACACACAATATGAACTCTATTGCATCCCTTTCTGGTACTTTTTGACCCTTTTACTGTAATCGTTTTTTTTACCATATTTTGTGTGTGTGTTGTATTCATAAATGGGGATGGTCATAAGTTACATAGGTCATAAGAAGGCATTAATAAAAATGTTGTATCCTCTTAGCAGCAGACAATGTTGCATAAGTTACAAATTGTAATTTTATAAAATTGGATTCAGTACATAAAATGCTATTTATGTCTGACTCAATACATGGACTCAGTAGATAAAATTCTTTGAATGTGTGATTCAGTACATAAAATGCTATATATGTCTGACTCAGCACGTGGATTCAATAAATAGAATACTGTTTATTTCTGATTTGTTTCTGCATTAGTCGTCAGCCGTACTGCGAAATATTTCCATAGTGTACTGCAATCTGGATACCATCTTAAAGTTGCAGGTTGCAACTAAACATATCCTTCATGGAGAACTGAACACTGTGAAAGGTGGCAGACTTAAGAGAGGATCCTGGATGGCCCAGGCTGAAATACAATTAACTATGACTGCATCATGGAAGAGATTAGCTGAGGATAAGAATGGGCAAAGTTACTGGACGGCAGAGAAGAGCTGCATAAATTGGTAATTACATTGGGGAAGAGAATGCAGGGAACGAACGGCAGGACGTGCAGATGCAGATGTTCAACAACTGATAGAGGACAAGTCTAGGCCAGGAGATGTAATTATATACAGTGATAGGACAGTGGCCAGGGGAGGAATAGTGGATGGGTTTTCATTGCAAAAATATAGGTTGGGGGTGGGGGGAGGGGGTGGATGCTTGGCATGAGAATGGAGGTTGAGGTGGTAACTACAACGTTCCGATGGGTGATGAAAGTCTCAGCCACACATTTTGTCATAGTATCAGATTAGCTAAGCATGCGCAGGAAGTTTCAGATTTTCTTTGTTTGGAATGGGTCACATCAGTCCAGAGGTTGCAGGTGGTGAGTCACTTGGATATTTTGCCTGGGCATGCAGTGTGCTTGAGAATGAGCAGGCAGATAGATTGGCTGAACTGACCCCACTGTGAGGTTTGCTGCTACTGCAATAGGTAGAGGTGATCTCTTGCCTGTAGGATGAGGAAACATGTAAATTGTATGATACTGAAATCAGGACCTGGAGAGAATGATGCAGTGGGGAGTGACTGTGGGTTTTTAGCACCGCTCAAGACTTGGGGAAAAGGAAAGTGAGTAGATAGTAGATGACTACATGCACCATCTGTATGGAGACTGCTGGCTGTTGATGAGGGACACAGAGCTTATTTTCAGGTTGTTCTGAATGCTGTGATGTTGAATCATCACCCAGATGAACCAAGATGTTGCACATTCTGTCTAAAATGCTTTTAAACATTTGTGTTTGTTCAAAATCTATTAAATCTAACAATAGTTGAATGTTTGTAAGCATAAATGTGTATTTGAAGTTGTTAAATCTGATAATGTTCATTTTGTTATTGGTAACCAGGTCTGTCACAAGAAGTTACTACAGAGGTGCTGCAGGAGCACTGCTTGTCTATGATATCACCAGGTAAACATTTTTGTTGTTTCTGTTTATGGGATGGGGAGGTTCTAAGCCACATGTAGTGGTGAAACAGACTGGGGCTCATAATGGTGGAGACTTATCCACACCACTCATCCTAAGAACATGTTCTTAACTGGGGGGGGGGGGGGGGGGGGGGGGGGGGGGTTCTAAAACAAATAGGATCAATGTCTCTTTCAAAGTTGAAGGGCATTTGCTTGAGAGGTGAGGAGCTAACAGTCTGCACATAAATAGGCCATTTCTATAAAACAGATGTGGATGCAAAACTCAAGTCTTTGAAGAAGACCAAAGTGCATAAATGGACGAACAGCCAAGAAATTCTGCCAAACTTTGCAGAATCACTGATTTTCATGTTGAGTTGAAAATGAACATTGTTACTGCTGCATTTGTTTTGACCAAACCGAAAATAATTCTCATAAAAAGTTCCATAATTAGTACACATGAAGAAAACCTCATAATAATGCAGCCATCTACTCCACTATTACACTTGCTGGACCAACAGGCTTGCAGCGCCATGTTGGATCTTCATTTGCCACTGAATTTCTTTAAGTTTCACCCCTTTACTGATAAAAAAATAATGGATAACATAACGCTGCTCCTGTTTAATGCAGGGAACTGACCATCTTTAAACTTTCATTGTGATGTCACCATGTTTATCTGCACTGTGATATCATGTGCTTAACAATTTTTACATTCTTAACAACAATATTGACATTTTACAGGCATGGCTATTGTAACTTTTGTCATGCTTTAAATGTTTTAATTTGAAGCTCTTCATTTGTATTTTTCTTGCACTGGAACTCAAATAAAGGGAGACCAAAAAAGGAGACCTGTTTTGGGCCACATTCTTTGTCTGAGGGGGCTTCATGGTCTCAAGGCATGGTGTCCGCCTTAAGTGCTAGAGGTTCAGCGTTCAGTCCCTGGTAAGGGCTGGGATTTTTTCACGTGGACTTGGACTTCTAGTAATTCCCCCCTGGTCTCTGAGATCGGACGCCGTGTGCATTGTTGCACACGTAAAAAATCTCTTGGCAGTTGGAAATAGAAAAGAATAGCCTAAGGACGCTGCCTGGGCAAAAATTTGGAGTTAAAAATCTACCCAAACTATTTCGGGATCCTTGCTGGTGCTGCAGAGCCTGTGCACTGTGCTGCGCTTCTTCGGACTCAGACTTGAGTTAGAAGAAAGAACAGAGCACTTAGGAGACAAGAAGGTTTGGTATTTCTCCAGATGATGCCGGTATGTTGACACTCAAGGGAAAAGTGAGACAAATGTACAATCAGACAGTTACTGGTACCCTTGAAATTCAGCTTGCTGCTGAAGATGGGAGACAGAGCGCTTATGGGAATGTCACAAGTGCTATGATTTCGATTATCAATTCAACATCCCTCTGACATTTAAAACATGAGTTATGGTATGTTTTGGGTCAGTAAGTTGCCTTCTAAGCCGGGCACTTTTTTTAATAGGAAAAAAAGTACCTGTACACACCACAGAGTGTCTATTACTTCAGCAATGAAAAATGATATCTAAAAAAGAAGGTGCTAGTACTGTGTACAGGTGCATACCACACAAAAAATTTAAAAAATAAGCCATGTTAGTAAGTAAAGTTTTCAAATGTCTATATAACTGTTATATTGTTTTCTAAGCCGGGAGACATACAATGCTCTAACCAACTGGCTCACAGATGCCCGGACGCTAGCTAGTCCCAACATTGTTATTGTCCTTGTGGGAAACAAGAAAGATCTGGAAGCAGAGCGAGAAGTCACATTCATGGAAGCCAGTCGATTTGCTCAAGAAAATGGTAAGCACAGATTATGAACTTTAGTCTGGTTGAGGTTTTAACTCTTTTAGTCTCAGGCATATGTTATTTTAACTCATCAGATCATAAGAAATTCTTAATTTATCTTCTCGATATGTCTGCCTGGAGTAATTAAAACATAAACACAATGTGACAGAAATGGTTAACACTTGGAAACACCGTGGCCAAACAGCAAAATAGCCTAAAAGACTATTGGGCTGATCCATCGGCCCTGTAATACAAGCCTTGAGATTGGCTGGCAGGTACAAGCCTTGCATTTCTTGCACATGTGGACTGTTCAAATAATAGACCTCACTTGTTCTTAAAGACCATGCAGTGTGGTGATGATAGTCATGTCTATTCACTACTTTCTGCCTCGTGAACTTTCAGTCAACTCTGACACAAATGATCTTCCATGCCATGATGTTAAACTGTCCAGCATCTGTTCTCTCGGTCTCACTGCTGAGAAGGAAATCATCCAAAATAATAATCAGGATGGAAGAATTAAAGGCAGCTATTGAGAAGATTAAGCTGGGGAAAGCAGCAGGACATGATGGTTTAACACCAGAGATGGTCAAATATATGGGAGTCACAGGTGAGCAACTTCTGAAGGTTCTCCAGGCAGCCTGGTGTAGCAAAACTAAACCAAAGGATTGGGAGATTGCCATCATTATACCTATATTTAAAAAGGGTGACAACAGACAATGGGAAAACCACAAAGGCATATCACTCTTCAGCGTTCCTGGCAAAAATTACTCTAGAATTCTTGAGCAGAGACTGAGAAGTCTGGCAGAACCAAAGCTGGATGAGACCTAATGCCGCTTCAGAGCAAACTGAAGTACTCAAGATCTTATATTCACACTCACACAGACAACTGCAAAAGCTCTTGAATATGAGAGTGAGATGCACCTATGTTATTTTTGGATCTAGAAAAGGCATTTGATAATGTGCTCTGGAACAAGCTCATCCCAGAATCCGTGATCAGAGCAGTACAGAGTTTCTAAAAAAGCTGCAGACCAAAAGTCAGAAGAATAAATGAATGTTAAATTGAGAATTGGCATCACAGAACTCAGGACACCCCCATAAGCACTCTGTCCCCATCTTCAGCAGCAAGGAAAGAGTTCCATTCCCAGTGGCACCAGTAACTGTCTGATTTTTTATCCGTCTCGCCTTTCCATTGAGTGTTGAGCGTCGGGCTGTGCCTCCGCACTGTTCACTCGCTACCAAAGGGCCCTCACAACATCTAGCACACAGGCTTGACTTGCAGAAAATATCCAAAGGGTACTAACTACCCGAGACCTCTGAAGTGATGCTTGCCACTGTAACCGGTGCATGCCTGTCGTTGCCTTTCTAAACTATTGTAGATGATATAGTGTCTGATTTGTTGTTGTTTTGTTTGATTGGTTTGACATTCAAAGAGAAGGGGATAAGCTGTTTCACAAGCAAGAAAACATCCATTCCGGGTACAAGCTATGGGATCATTTGTTTTGAAGTCTACAATTCCAAATTGCCTGTTTTTGAAAGTGAACACGCAGGTCTGAAGTTAAGGCAAAAGTTCTCTTAAATGTATACACTGAAAAAAAAGAAAACTCAACATTTACAGTAAAAGATAGTGGTCTTATAATTCACCCAGTAGAAAGTCCCTTTTGATGAGCATTAGCAGTGACGACCATTGCAAATTATTTATTACCTCAATTTTCCCTGTGTGGGTTCTGGGGCACAAAGGGGGGAAACTAGAATAGACCCTAATGCCTCCCCAACAAGAAAGTCGTAGGAGTAATAATTGGGGGCTTACTTTGGAGTCAGAGGGCATCTGCCTGAGAGGCAAGGAACCAACAATCTGCATATAAAAAAGTCATATCTGTAAAATGAATGTGCACACAACACTCAGATTCTGAAACAAGTCTAAAGTCCAGAGGTAGCTGAATAACGAGAACATTCTGCCAGAGTTTATAGCCAGTTAAAGTGAAGATTACCTCAATCTCTAAACCAGTTCACTAAATCTGGATATCTTCAAAAGACGTTATATATTTATTTTGGCTTCATGACATGTACAAAGTGCATATAATGTCCACCATATTTCTTCTCTGAGAACTGATGTTTCTGGAAACAAGTGCTCTAACAGGAGAAAATGTTGAAGAAACGTTTTTGAAATGTGCTCGCTGCATACTGACAAAGATTGAAGCTGGTAAGATACATACAGTCTGTTCTGAGCAGTTTTATTTTGTTAAGACACATTTATAACATTCTTGATATTTTGTTCCCTACTTCATTTGTAAGGGAGTTTCCGTGGCGTTGGTGGCTAGTCGCCCACCTGCGGATCGGAAGTTCATGGATCGGGTCCTGACAGAGCCCGAACGTTTTTATAAATGACTTTGAGTCCCAGGTCAACCCAACCTTTAGTGGGTACTAGGTGCAGTCCTGGAAAGTAAAGGCGGCTGGCATGATGCTGACCTCATCATCCACCTAATTACGATTGGTCTTTTATTATAGGTCTAGCCCTATATGCCCAATATGCCTAGAGGTGTGGAAAAGGGTCCTTTACTTTTACTTTGCTTACTTCATTTATCTTTCATAGTTGAGCCACAAAAACAAAACAAAATAAAAAGCAAGGTTATATTATGTGTAAATTATTTCCCAGAAGATTTAAAAAAAAAAATTATGGCAGAATTTAGTAGTGATGGTATGGTTAGAAAAATAACTTGTCAACTGAAAGTTGAACTAAGACGTTCTGGAAAGCCAATCTACTATCTACCATTAGAAGTTTGAAACAGCCATTACACAATGAAGGTTGATACAGTGGCCTCCTTCTTCCCAGTACTTTTTTTTGGAATACAGTAAAACCTTATTAGGGTGTGTTTTTAAAGTGTGCACAACTTTAAATATCTGTAACTCAATAACGGATTGGTGTAAATTATTGGCATAAAGCCAGTTTTTATCATGCCCTTATTTGAAGAGATGTATAGCAGTGTTTCCCAAACTTTACTTAGTCACAGCGCCTTTTTTCAATTAGTTTTTCCAGGATGTCCCAACCTAAGTAAAAGTATGACTATTTGTAAGAGATAAAAAAAAAAAAAATTGTGTATCTTCAAATATTTTGCGGCACCCCTGTGAAGAGGTCGCGTCTCCCTGAGGCACAGCAGGGCACAGTTTGGGAATCACTAATATATAGTGTAAACAGACAGAAAGTTTTTATTTTGCTTTATTTGTGGTTTATGAAAAACAGACACAGATACAAAGCAAACAGGTAGCATGTTTACAAAGCATACGTTAGCATGTTTACAGCTAATGGAGTGATGCAGATGTCGCCCTGTCGGTTTCAATAATGTTTTTGATGGCACTCCATAAGAATTATCAAAGCCGGTCATCAGACAGATTAGAAATAGCTTCGCCTTCACTTTCCCATTAATTGATGGTCTTAAAACTACCTTTACTAATGGACAGCATGAAATACAATTCATCCAGTGTTACCCATTGATCACCATGAATGTTTTCATTAACTCGATGAGTGCTGTGTGTGGAGTAACTGTGGTAGACGGACGACCAGTCCACTTTGCATAAGCCACTTAGGATTGGCCTATTTCAGCTTCATCATAGCGATATACCCAGCTTCGGACAGTGCTGACATCCACTTTTGAATCTCCATAAACATTCTTCCAATGTTCATTGATGTGAATAAGGATATTGTCTTCATTGTTGAGGAATTCTGTGACATTACGTTGTTTAAACCGAATGTCTTTGGAAGACATTTTGAAACCATTACAATGGTGCCACTTGTTACTGAAACAGGTTGGTAATACTTTACAGTGCAAAGGTTTGAGGAATCCTGCTAAATTGACAAACAACACACTGATATAGTATTTACATAGATAAAATATAGGAAGCATTACTTTTTGACCATCCCTCTCACAAGGAAGCTCTATAAGGAGAAGAGGCTGACCAAACAAGAAACTCAGTACAGAAGATGGCTACGTTAAAAGGTCTCAGACATGTAAACATGAAGTCGATTCTGTCTGACAGAGGTGGAGGGAGCTAAATGACAATTAGCAGCAAATGATGACTCAGTGGCATGCAGTGTTATATGACTATGATGATAGGTGAAGATTTAAAAAAATGTCCAAGTATTTATTAACAAGAACAAAAACAAAATGGGAAGATAACATCAGAGAATTCTGTAACAGCATGATGTGTCCATGGTCAAAGCAGACAGAAGAGCACGAAGCAGGACTTTATGTCTCCCTCGACCCTAAAGCAGTAGTAAAAGAGGATGTAAAGAAGAAGAAAATGTATTAACACTCATAGAAGCTAAGGAAGGAAGGAACAAATGAACAGACTTTATTTTGCAAAGTGGTACGAATTGGGCACGCAGGTCTGTCTAACATTCTGATGCATATGATATGTTTGCATCATTAGTTGTTTTATCACTTTGTTTGCAGGAGAACTAGACCCTGAAAGAATGGGCTCTGGGATACAGTATGGAGATGCACTGAGGCGAATGCACCGCCAAGAAAAATTACAACCACAGACGACAAGACCTGACTGTGCCTGTTAGGGACGCTGGACAGATGTGTGGGTTCATGTGTGTGTATGGTTGAAGTTCTTTTTCAAGGATTCTTTGCTGTACATCTATGCTGGCATGGATCACAAACAGGAAGGGGCTCTTGGGGGTCTTTACAAATCTTCCCACAGTGTGTCTCAAAGGGAGGTTCCTGCAGGCCAGATTTTTATCTCTCTTTGTAGTGAAATCGTGGTGGAATTGTACATACATTCATGCTTACATTTGTACAAAACTAATTAATACAGAAATGCAGCCGCCGCCACCCCCCCCCCCCCCCCCAATTCCCCCAGTGGTTTGGGGTTAAGAGAAGATATGTTGGCAAATTAAAAAAGGGATGTGAAGAATTGTTTGCATTGTGGTGTGTGTACGTTTAACTCTTTTAGTCTTAGACAGTTGTTACATTAGTTCAGTCTTTCTGAAACATTTATTATATTAACTCAGTCCACCTGAAGCAGTCATTTTAACCTATTCTGTCTGAAGCAGTCATTATAACTCATACTGTCAATTTGTTACTTTAACACATTCTGTCTGAAACAGTTGTTACTTTAACTCATTTTGTCTAGAACAGTTGCTACTTTAATTCATTCTGTCTGAAACAGTTGTTACTTAAACTCTGTCTGAAGTAGTTCTTACCTGAACTCATTCTGTCTGAAACAGTTACTTTAACTCTGTCTGAAGCATTTCCTAACTCATTCTGTCTGAAACATTTTTTACTTGAACTCATTAGTCTGAAACAGTTGCTACTTTAACTCTGTCTGAAGCAGTTGTTACTTTAGCTCATTCTGTCTGAAACAGTTGTTATTTTAACTCATTCTATCTGAAGCACTCATTACTTTAACCTTCCTGCATTAGTTTCAGGTCCTATTTGGGGGAGGGGATAATACATCTCCCCCCCCCCCCCCCCCACCCCCCACATTCCCCCTAATGGGGCCTGAAACCTATACATGAATGTTAAAGTAATGAAAAGTAAAGGTGTGTGGGGGTGGTAATAGATCCACAACCCCACCCCAACAAGCATATGAGAAACTGAAATCAGAAGTCTGCAAACAAATAAGCCAGATCTGTAAAACTAATGTGCACACAACATTCAGTTTCTGGAACAAGACTGAAGTCCAGAAGTGGACGAGCAACCAGAACCTTCTGGAGTTTACAGCAGCTGAATGCAAAGAAGAAGTTACTTTAACTCATTCTATCTGAGGCATTTCTTACTTTAACATTCTATCTGTTGCATTTCTTACTTTATCTCATTCTATCTGTAGCATTTTTTACTTTAACTCGTTCTGTCTGAAGCATGTCTTACTTTAACTCAATCTGTCTGAAGCATTTCTTTCTTTAACTCAATCTGTCTGAAGCATTTCTTTCTTTAACTCATTCTATCTCATGCATTATATGACTTTGGAGTAGTAAACTCCAGATTTAAAAGAGTTCAAATAACAACTCCATTAAACAAAAGTTAAATAACAATAGAATTGGGTGATATAACAATTAGATAAGACCAAACGAATTGAGTAAAGCATTTCTTGTAAGAAGTTACCAGTAAACATATAGTGATCGACTGGTACTCAGTGAATTAATATTTGAAAGTTAAATACGTTAGTTAATAGTACAAGCTGAATACATGAAATAGTTTGTAAAAGTTGCATGCGTGAGTTGATATGTTATGATTGAATACGTAAGTTAATATGCAAATGTTGAATGCACATGCATGAATGCTTATTTATTGTTTATCCTGTATCATTTTAGATAAGTCTCCCACAAAATTATGTGATTTGTAGATGTTTCTCTACAAAGATATGTGTTGCCACCTGTATATACATATAATGTATTTAGCATTATCGTCACAATATTTTATGTTCTATTAAAGAATGAAATCCAGTTGCCTCTGTCTATATCATTAGAACTATTTTAACAGCATTTTGTCGTGTGCTTTCATTTAAGTGCAGTGTGGTTGGTAGCACTTTTGTCAAGTTTAATTCTTTTCTAGACATGCCATTTGTGGTACAGTGGTACCTTGGCTCGCACACCTCATTCATTCCTTGACTCAGTTCACAATCTGAAATTTTCACAAACTGAAATAATTTTTCCCATTGAAATTAATGCAAATCCAATGAATCCATTTGCCCACCCCAGAAACATATTTTTTTTGGGGGGGGGGGGGGCAACTTGAAAAAAAAAAATATTGGATTTCTATGTGACAACAATATATAATATAAAACAGCGCCATGAATTTCAGTTCGCTCACAAAATTTCTCAAACAAGCCTCTTCTTTCTTCAAATTCATCAACGGTAGCATCACTTATCTTAGGTATTTTTGCCACTAGATTACCGTCCAAAAGTAAAGGCTTCTGGCACATAGGGCCTCGCGAACATGTATCTCCATTGTGAGGGTTAGTTTTGTGCCCATGCACGCACACACACACACAAAATTAGAACAATGCAGCGGTAAACAATGTTCACAGCGTGCAAAGTATAAATGATGCTGTTAATGAGAAGAAAACATGGAACCAAATACATGTTTATGTATTTGTGCGGCGAGGAATTGTTTGTGGGTCAGGTCCAAATTAGTTAGAAAATTGTTTTCGTCGGCCAGTTTTGTCATTACTAGAGGCGTTCTTACTAGGGAATTTGTGGAGGTCAAAAGAAACTAAAACTAAACTTAAATATTTTAGTTCTAATATCAAATCAATACTTTTATAGGAAGTGGAAATATAGACAACAACCAACGCAATCACTAATAAACTACAAACATTCATTAACTGCTGCCTGCGCAGAATAGAGGGAATTAAATGATATGATAGAATCACTAATGTAGAGCTTTGGGAGAGAACTAAACTATTTCCAGTGGACCAAGTGTTGAAGAAAAGACGCTGGCGTTGAATAGAAAACCTGAGAACAGTGTGTCTTTGCACTGGAATCCACAGTGCTTAGAAATAAAGAAAGACCAAAAAACACATGGAGTAGGGAGATAGCTGGTGAAGTTAAAAAGATGGGGAGAGCTGCATGCGAAAGAGAAGGATAAAATGAGTTAGTTGAGGGCCTGTGCTCCTCTTGGGTTTAGAAAGTGACGTTGGTGACAACAGTTATCATTTTTTTATGAGCAAATGACAAGTTTGTGATATTGTGAAGCTGACTAGTTACTACTCCTCATTTGGACTGACATGTTCCCCCCTGTGGGTTCCAGGGATTCATTCTGGGGAACAAGTCTCTGGACTGACATGTTCCCCTCTGTGGGTTCCAGGGATTCATTCTGGGGAACAAGTCTCTGGACTGACATGTTCCCCCCTGTGGGTTCCAGGGCTCCATTCTGGGGAACAAGTCTCTGGACTGACATGTTCCCCCCTGTGGGTTCCAGGGATTCATTCTGGGGAACAAGTCTCTGGACTGACATGTTCCCCCCTGTGGGTTCCAGGGATTCATTCTGGGGAACAAGTCTCTGGACTGACATGTTCCCCCCTGTGGGTACCAGGGCTCCATTCTGGGGAACAAATCTCTGGACTGACATGTTCCCATCTTTGGCTTCCAGCGCTCCATTCTGGGTAACAAAACTTGTCATAGAAGGCAACTAATTAGGGGGGTTTCCTTTGAGTTTGACTGCATCTGCCTGAGAGGCAAGAAACTAACATTTGGCATACAAATATGCCATATCCGTAAAACAAATGCACACATAAAACTAAAGTTTTTAACAAGACCAGAAACAGATGAACAACAAGAACTTTTTATTCAGTGAACACTAAGGAGAAGAAATAGGACTGATATTTAGACATGCCAGAGCAGAACCTGTTTGTCATAGCGTAACTGATTTCATGAAATAAAAAAAAAACAATCAAATACAGAGATTTAAAAGAGGCTCCAAATGAAAAGTGAATTGTCCCCGTGTGGGTTCCATCGCCACAATGTGGGGAAAGCAAAAACAAACCAGCTTCCCTGCCAAAAAAGCATGTCGTAAGAGTCAACTAATTTGGGGCAAGCCATGTGAATAGATGTTTTTAGCCAGCCAGGTAAATAGACACTGTCTGCCAGCCATGTGAATAGACATAGACATTGTCAGCCGGGCCATGTGAATAGACATAGACATTGTCAGCCGGGCCATGTGATTGGACATGGACATTGTCAGCCAGCCATCTGGATAAACATTGTCATCCGGGTATGTCAATAGACATTGTCAGCCAGCCATGTGAATAGACATTGTCAGTCAGCCATGTGAATAGACATCAACTGGCCATGTGAATAGGCGTTCTAGCTGGCTAATATAATTTAGATTATTAGTTGTAATCACTTAACGATAGACATAATTATTGTTTTTACTAATTTATTAAACTTTTTCTGACTCAGGCGTTGACATTCCATCATGTAATAAATTCATCTTATTTGTGTTCATTTTAAATTGTAAACGATGAATATAACTTGTACTTACATGAACAGCACTACCTATTGAAGGGATTTTGTATTAATAGTGAACAGCACACACATTGTAAATAGTAACTGGCATCGTAGAGAGGCAGGTTAAACTGAATTTACGTTAATAATACATCTTGTCCTCCAGCCTGCATAATTCAAATTTACCTCAAAATTTAAGGTCAGACTTCCAGTGAATACAACAAAGTACACAAAATTCTTAGCACAGTATAATATATTCATTATGGAGAAATAACTACAGTAATCATGCACATTTTATGTGGCAATATTTTAACCATTTGATTTCAGTAAAGAGGGATGGTTGGCTGAACTGTAAAGAACACTAGGCTCTTGTGTGGGAGACCCAGGTTTGAGTCTTCGGTAAAGTTGGGGATTTTTTCTGTGGGGGGCACAAAAAAAAATTATCCTAACTTGCACAGTCTGTGATGCCAGCGGTTCTAAATCCTCAAGCTTAAAGACCTTCCAGCCTACACTGCAAAAATAGTAAATATAATAGCAAATTTTAGTAATTCTTTGTTGGCAGCTTTCCATTTATCCAAATGATGGTGCTTGATTATGCTATAGGAAGACATAGAAAT